CACTTGTACGCTGCGTCTTACGTTAAGCAACTTAACTGCAATGAGATGTTAAATAAAGTGCAACTACAAGTACTGATAAAACAAAGAGCTAAACCAAAATTAAGAATGTTGTTCTTTTTTTTTATTTACCTGTATGTGCAACATTTTAACGGTGAAGTTATTCTTCCAGTGAAAAGACGTGTGCTTCTCAACACATTTTAACCTACATGCTCATGAGGACTCAGCTCATGAATTGAGACACAGCCACAGTGTGAGCGATGTGTTTTAAAACAGGGATAGCCCCAAACAATAGTCTGTACGTAGTTTAATTTTTAAAGGCATCTGAATGACTGAACAAAACCCAAAAGGGCATTTATGTTACAAAAAATTAACAACAAAGACAAAATACAGTACATAGTACTAAAGAACCTACTTCCTTTACAACTTTTTCTTGTGCCATTTCCTCTGCAGCAGCCCCTACTGTTTAAAGTAAGAACTGCACTGAGTATTGAACATATGGATCTACTGCTGACTGCAGGAGAAGACTGCTTCATGTTAGTTCTCTTAAATTGGAGGTGCAGCTTTTCAAACACGGCTTGCCATGGCGAACAGCATCTTCCTGCATCAGGCTCAGGTTTTAGCTCATTAAACTCATGCTTCTCCAAAAAACTATGTCTTTCAACCGTTTTGTCTCTTAAGAGCTTCAAGGATTTAATGTTCTTCATTTTCTGTTTAAGTGTTGCATTTTAGCTGACTTATTCAAAACTATAACATGTTTCATACACATATCCATTTTATGCAGATGACACTCAGTTGTATGTTAAATTAAAWTCTACTGAGTTGATTAAGAAAAAATTCACTGTAAAATGCCCTTAAACCCCATAAATCACTGAAAACGCAGCCTGCTATTTTTTAACTTCCTTTGTTGAGACAGYCAGTCTGTGGTGATGCAAGACCAGCCATTCTCTCTGAATGCCTTTGTCTTTATCAGCACATTCATAAYGCCGCTGTGCACCATCAAAACAACTATTATGTCCACACTTTTGTGTACACCTGCCTGTTGTCATGTGTGCGTCTTCAGAGTTATAAGTCTCCAGTGAGTGTTGGATAAGCTGCCTTAACGACTTTAAACCCTCTCCTGGGTGAGCTGTATTTAGCCTCACCCAAGCACATCTTTTTCCACAGACCAAGATMCACACACCCTCACACCTTCTTCTGATTCTTGTTCTCTTTATTTTCCATTTTAACAAGCTTTCATGCTTGCTGTATGATGGGGATTATGGTTTAGACTTTGGGTAGCAGGTTTTGGGTAAAGGTTAAGTGATTTCACAGTACAGAAGATGATGAATCGACTCTTTCATTCTCAATATTGAACAAAAAAATTAAGTTAGTGGAAAATGCTGTCACTGAACCAAATGTTGTTGTGTAAAAAGGTAATACATACAGCCTCAAAGCTCTAGTGACAAATTTACTGTAYGTGGCCCAGCCAAGGAATTCTTCTGAAGTTTTAAGGAATTAAACCAGTGACATACTTTGTTCAAATGGGTTAGCCACTATAGCATAAGCTGCTTTCTACTGTAATTGTAAAACTGAGGGAAAGTCTGATTTCAGACTTGAAAATTTCCTAAAGAGCTGCTCACTATCAACTCATCTGTACAACTGCTGGACAGCTCRCGTGTTAGTGAGCTAAAGTTATTACAGACTTCTTAAAAAGCTTCACAAATCAACATCAATAAAAATAAAGATCATTAGACATTATCTTGGGGAAAACCCAAGGGTGATTCTTGCTTATGAGATTAATAACCTTTTTTTTTTTTACACGAGTATAAATGGCACAGACACATTTGGCTTAACGGTAATCCCTGCTACTTGTTAATGGGGTTAATGTTCAGACTACAGTTAAACCAGCCTCTATAAGAAACGTGAGAGCAGAAGAAAGAAAAAGCAGCAGAGCAGAAAAGTAGCAGCTTCATCCCAGGTGAATTCATTAGTAGTAGGCCTGAAGGTTTTGCTGTAGATGACAATTAAGTTTTRTAGCATCTGCAGCACAAATACAAGCTTATAATCTGCCATTTTTATTGTTGTTACATCAAACAATTTTGGTTTTGAAGGTTAGGTTAGAGGTGGTGTTATGGCATTGTTTTCATAATGTTGCAATTTGGGTGTCAATATGAAAATAACCCTGTTGTAAAAGGATGTATTTTTTTGAGATCTTAAAAAATCTTAAAAAACATGTCAGCTTGTGAAATGTGTGTGTTTTTTTTTTATAAAGCAGTGCAATTTTGGCAATAATATTCTCTTCTGTCCTGTGATTTTACATCCCAGATCGGGGTGGGGTCAACATTTATCAACCAGCAGGAACAACATGAGGAAGATCTGAGTTACACAAACACATGGATCATATTCCCCTCTTGTTTTTCTGCTTGCTACTCGTTTATATTATCCTCTTTTGGTCACTCTGTCACTCCTTCTGTCTTTCATTTTGACCCTTTAAATCTCCACATTTCTGCCAGCTCCTATAAAAATGACAGGAGAGGACTTGAAAATGATAGTGATGATAAACTGTAGAGTCAAAGAACTGAGGACAGTGTAAAAGCCTGTTAAACATCTCCAGATTTCCACTGAGAAGATATAAAGCTGTGTTTCCCCCCTGCTGGCCTCACATCTTTATCTTCGGGAAGGGTGGGTGGGCGGTGTGTGTGTGTGTGTGTGTGTGTGTGTGTGTGTGTGTGTGTGTGTGTGTGTGTGTGTG